ATCCTAGGCTGGCACAGAGACTTTGTGGAGGATGACAGAAGGAGCTTTTAAATAAAACCATTTTCTCTAGTGTGGCCAGAATGTACGTGTGTGTGTGTGTGTGTGTGTGTGTGTGTGTGTGTGTGTGTATGTATTTATATGATATGTATATGCGTATGTATATTACGTGTGTGTATATATATAAAATTTTCTGTGCACTTAAAAAGTCACTTGAGTCCTACTGACATTTGTACTTTCTGTTTGGAATTCTCTAAGTGTTGAGCCTCTTGGTTTGAAACCCATCTTTGCTGTAGTTTCTTGCTCTTCATGGTTGATCCTTACAAAGAAAGGCCTTAGTCTCTAAAGGATACCACACTGAGAAGAATGGAGGGGATATAGCACCAGAGGCATTTGCATTGCCTTTTCTCAGCTCCAAGCATTCCAGAAATTATTTCTTGCATAGGAAAGGAGTCTGAAGATTTCTTTCCATGTTGGTTGTGACCTAGACTCACCTTGGTCACCTGTAAGAATACCAGTTCCAACTTAAGTCTTCAAGTACACCTTAATTAATACTGTGTAAAAATTATATTCTTCTCAAGACAGAGGATATGGTTCATTACAAGAAAGTCCTTTTTGATATTTGCCCTCCTTTGTAAACATTTCTTAAAGGAACAGTAGAGGAACTGAATGTTTGTGTTGAATAAAAACAACCCAAACCAAGAAAACAAGCAAATATGCATTTTAAACGTTGCTGAGAATTTCAAGTAAGCCTCTTCCAAATTTGATTTTCCTTTATTTACCATATATTCATAGAAAGAACTTAAGAAATGTTAATAGGATATTTTTGAAGGCAATAGGAATGCTTTCTTTGAAATGGCTCTTGGTTAGGTTGAGGAAGAATGACAGCTTTTTGAATTTTGCTCAAATAAAACCTTTCAAAGAGCAAGCAAAAGCAATGCTAAACCTATATATACCTGACTCATATAGGAACAAGAAAATTCGCACCTTTTGGTTAAGTTTCCTATTTAATGAACTAGTACATCTCTGTTTTGAAGACTGAAAAGAGTGACATCATTCTATGTAAGTATGTCACAATGTATGCCCTCCCCAGCCCTGTCTTAGCGGGAACTTCATTCTCTGCCCAACTAGCATCACCTTGATTGAACCCAAGCTGAATCAGAGTTGTGGGGCCAGTTTTAGAGATCAACAGTTACAGAAGTGTGCTCCTATAGCTGAATACACGTGTCTTAGCATTTTCAGAAATGACCTAGATAGAATCACTCAATGGAACTTCTGACAGAAATAGTTTAGAATACCCATATCTGTACAAAGAGTGATTTATTTTTGTCCTTTTGTACAACTTTCAGAAAATTATCAAAAGCAGTCATCTATTCTTCACAGCAAAATGCAAGGGCCAATCATTTTACTACCAAATATTTTTATGTATAATATAATAATGTTACTTGAATATAAAATATAGAGAATGATGAGATTATGGTTCCTAAAATCTAATAACTATATGTGACGCAAGATAATTAACTAGTCTTTAAGATGAATATCAAGCTTTGTCTATTATTTATTTATAGCATGCTATACGTTAACACCAGCTGGAAGATAGCTAACACAAGCCATTAGAACCCAGCACAATCACGAGGAACTTCTACTTAACTCGTTTCCATTAAGATTCAAATATGGTGTAGACATTCGAATGTCTAGAAATACGAGTTTAAGTATTTCCTAACATTTTCTTTTCTCATTTGAAACATCTAGCTACTCTGAACTTTCTGATCTGAGCTACTTTCTGGGCAAAACATTCCTACCAAACTAATGACTACTTTTGCCTCGAACACGGATGCCTTAAGAGACAGGGGATTGTACATAGAGTTCCTGATGCATCACTCCCGTGGACGACAGCATTCTAGCAATTTCCTCACAAAACAGTAATTAGAACATTTTTAAAAATAATAATTATGCCATTTTCTGGGGAAAAGGTAAGTCTCTATTAAAACCAGGTCCACAGCTGGAGCGGCAGCCTCCCATTCTCTGCTAGGAGCTCACCTTAGGGGGAAGAGGGCAGGGCATCAGTGGGTTGCTGATGAGGACGCCTGTAACCTTCCAGGTTTATTTAGGAAACTGGAAAGGAACTTGGTGACTAGATGCTGCATTCCAATTCCTTAGTTCTCCCTTCAGCTAAAAAACTCTTCTCTTTCTCAGTTTCAATATGAAAAGTTGCTTCCTAAGCACCTTATATTCGCCTTATATTCAGTTTCCAGTCAAAAGTTGTCTTAGAGCAAATCCCAAGCAGGAATGTTCACTTTTTTATTTTTCCTGAAAAATTTTAAAAAAATTTAATTCTAAAATTTTAATTTTAAAAACTTTTTTAAAAAGTGACATTTAAAGTTTTTTTTTCCCAGAAAATGACTATTTAATACAAGATAGCCATTGCTTTTATAAAACTGTGGTTCCAGAGTGACATTTTCATAACTTAGAAGTCGAGACTCTTTCTACCTTATTTTATTTTATTATGTTCTGAGTTTCTCTGATGAAAGGCAATACTGGATCAAGGCTATATTTACAGTAGCCATTCGTGAAGCCCGAACTTATCAACACAGCCTCTGAGTGTTAGGTTCCAAATGCTGTACAAAGTTCTATAGAATCAGAGGCCTGTAAGACTGTGGAACCTGTGAGCAGAGGCAAATGAAAGAGGATACCATGGACAGAAAAAGAGCCATGGGGTGCTGGATGTGGTAAGGAACAGTCTGGGTGGGGCGTCCTTGCTGGATTCCCGAGGGCGTATGAAAATGACCGGTGCTGCTGGGAGAGTTAAAGGGAAAATCTATCACGGGGGGGCGTCAACCACATTTGCCAGGGTTTGAGAGTGTGTTTTAGAAATGAGAGAATATTTGACTTTGCCAATTGGAGAGTTGAAAACGGCAGAAACTGAGTCTAAAACTAGACAAAACAAGATGAGCAAAGTGGTATAGACGAGGAGGACCCCCTGAACTCCATTCTTAGAACTGATGAAGTAACAGCTGCTGATGGAGATGGTTTGGAGATGTTCATTCCCATAGCTGCCACCTTAAAGGGTGAGCACCACAGCACCTTGAAGGGTGAGCAGGGGTAACGAGCATGTGTGCCTATTTTCCTGGGAGCTCACATGTTTTGGGCCCACATAAAGATACCACAAAGGCAACAGGGCACACCTCCTGAGCGGTGTGCAGTAGGCGTTTCTACAACCTGTTCTAAAAGTTGCGCCAAGAGAAACTAATCGAGAATTATTCCCTTACCCCCGGGTGTGTCCACAGTGTTAATCTAAGGACTCCTTTGGCGGTGTCACCAAAGGAAATGACATTAAAAGGGGCTCCTTTCTACCATTCATTTTGTCTTCATTTACACAGCTGAGATTTGTATTTGTATTCATAGAAGTTGTCTTAATATTAAATGTCTGTTTGTTTACTTTTCCTTGAAAACTAAACTAAGTGAAGTACAATCCCATCATCTCAGCATTTTATCCCATAGAACGTTTCCCACTCAGAATCATGTTTGCACGCATTTATATCCAACATGTGCTCACGTTTCTCTACACTGATGATTCTTAGTCTAAATCTTTATATCCTGAACAGACATCCCCTTCTTACACTTTGTGATTGGCTCTGAGGATATGCTGACATTTGAAACACGTGATGCATATTTACACGTATCAGTGAAAACATTCCAACTAACAATATTAGGAGACTCCTTATGCGATCCGTATTTTGCGAGAAAAAGATAGTAAATAATAAACTACTTCTTGGAAAAAGATCACAGTTACTTTTTATTTGAAATTTCATGTTCAACTCTATCTTTAGCTGGTAGAGATGAGTTATCAGAAGTTTTCAGCCAGATGATTTCCAGTAAGTATTTTTTTAACAGCATTATGACTAATCCAGCATTCCTGGTCCTCCAGCAGCCAAACTGACTCAGGGCAGCTGAAGTGGTGCAAAGGCAGAATTTAATCGTTTCTTGGCCCTTTCCTTGCCAGCGGAGTTTGATTTGACGCATCAATTTGAACTCAGAGTACCAGCTTGTTCCTAAGAGACTATCCACCAAAGAAATGCTCACGAAGGGGCAATTCCCCCTTTCAATTCAAAGTCTGTGTCACTTTCAGGCAGTGGCCAGCGGCAGACACGGCTGCCCATTATTGGTGTGTGCATCTGTAGGAAGAATGTGGCATTGTTGTTGTTGTTATTGTTGCTTGTTTGCTTTCACTATCCTGTGAAAACTAGCTACTTGTGAGAAAAAAATGCACGAGAAAAGTTTTCCGATAGCTGTGCTTGGGTTCAATGCATATAATTCACCTCTTTTCTTTCCCTGGATTCTGAGCCTGGGGAGTACAATGGGGGTGTTGTGCTCTGGGGTAGCCTGGCATGCAGGATATTGCGATAGGAGGTGTGAGCAACTTGCAGTACCTAAAGTGTTTGCTCTATAACTGCCGAGGACTAACTCCAACAGCACACCAGGCCATTTGGTTTAGAACAAGCAAGTACAGACTTCACTAGCTACTGTGACTTACATAGGAAACCGAATTCCTTGCTTTAAAAGTGTACATAGGTGGTAAGAATTAAAACATTTATGAGGCTTAAAAAACAAACGCTTCACAGCTTGCATGCAGTCGGTTTACTGTGCAGTTCTTTTAACGTGTCAAAGGGCAAGTCACAAAAGAATCCATTGTTCTGTTGGAGAGAAAGGTTATTGGCTTTCAGGTCTATCCAGAAAGACAAGCCATCATAGTTTGTTAAAACAGTAAACAGTTATTTTAAATCCTAAAAGAAAACAGCAGCGCCTTTTTCTTTATCATACAATTTCTGGAACCTCAACTCACAGAGTTAACTCTGTATCTTAAACATTATTTTGTGAAAGTAATGTGTACGTTTCCGCCTTAATTTCAGATCACAACGATCAATGAGTGTAAAAATGTCAGATTAAGTTTCTGCTCCAATTTATTTTTATGCTGAGCTTTCAAAAGAGGAAAAAAAGCTTACCTCCGTCAGTCAAGTGGGACGCCTGGAGCCCCTTTCTCAGCCTCAGCTTCAGCGTGCGGGAGCAGATGCTCGGAGCTAACAGTCTGTTCCCAGGAAGCAGGTGAACCCGAGAGCGGCTGCCTGCGTTCCAGCCCAGTGCCCATCCGAGCACACACCTGCTTTCCCAGACCTGCAAGCAGCAGCCTCGCACAGGACCTGTGCTAGGAGAGGGAGTCACCCTCTTTTCAGAGCCCCGGTTCTCTCAGCTGGGGAGCTGCTGAGATAACTGTGCGGGGAAGGCTTGCCTTCCCGAGACAAAACCCTTTCCTGCTGCTGCCCGCGAGCTGATACGCAGCATTATCACCCTGCATTCCCCGTTCTCCAATCAGCTAATTGCAACAGCGGTCAACAGCTTGTCGCAGGGGCAGCTTGCAGGCACACGTGGCTGCAATGATTGTGCACTAGCATGCCCATTGTGGCTCTCTTCTTTCAAAAGATTTTTTTAAAATAGAAATGCTTCTTCCACCGTGAAGCTCTATGCCACACTGCTTTCCATAAGTAAAATGGCTGGTCCTCTCAGCGCTGCTGCGACAGCTCATTGGGTTCCACTAGCTTTTCGTAGCCATAGCAACAGCCAACAGACAGACTTAGCAAGCATGGCTGATCATGTGCAGCGCACGACACAGCTTGTTAATTTCTTTTTTTTTATCAAACTCGTCATTTTTCGAAAGGGGGCAGCTTCTTTACCTTTCTAAATGTTTCGTCGAGAGCGCAAGAGCCCTGATCCCTCCCCTGAACCCTCCCTCCCCCTCCCCACGCATGCACTCAGCTTTTCTGGGGGGACTTTTGTATATGTCAGTCTTACACTGTGAGATGGAGGAAGGAAAGCTGTATTTGCATCTATCCAGGTTAATAATATGCATATCGCCGGAGAGGACACTAATTGGAATCGTGGGCAAAAACAGGTTTGACCTTGGAGTCGTAGAAGGGGCTGGAAAGAGAACTGCTGAATGGGGGAAGCTGTGGTTTTTGTTTTCCAATGACAACCGTACAGCTAACTTATCAAGCAAAGCCCTGTGAATCGTATGTTATATCTAGTCCAAATAATAGTATAGTCAGAGGAGCTGGCTTACTGCTTCTGAATTATCCATTTATCTATAGACTGTGTTTAATATCTTAATACATTACACAGTTTTAAGGAGAATTTTTTTTTTAAAAAAAAGTTCTATTGCTGTTCCTGTGGAAAACTCTCTTTAACTCAATTGTACTTTATTTTAAATTTTAAAATACTTTTAAAAAATCCAAACCAAGGCCAGGTGGTGGTGGTGCACGCCTTTAACCCCAGCACTCGGGAGGCAGAGGCAGGCGGATCTCTGTGAGTGCCAGGCCAGCCTGGTCTACAAGAGCTAGTTCTAGGACAGGCTCCAAAGCTACAGAGAAACCCTGTCTCGAGAATCAAAAAAGAAAAAAGGAAAAAAAAAATCCAAACCAAATAAAAAATCCCTTGAGAATTTAAGCATTACCTGCAAGGCAGGAGTTTTTACTACATTCCAGGCTTTTTCCGAAAGCCCATCTCCTCAAGGTATCTCCCATGGCTAGGCTAACACCATTAACAATTTAAATCTTCTAAAAGTCCCGCTCCCCTTGTCAGACTTTCCTATTCTTTAAGGATTGTCACCAGTAATGTTCTATTTCATATATTTTCAAAGTAGTGTGCTGCTTACGTTTGCCCCTAGCCATCTGTTTGAAATCATGTGTTAGCACTTTGGACTTGTAAACAGACAAGTTGCGTTTGCTGGGAGACCTTGATTTATGTTTTGTTAAGTATTGCATTTTGCTGCCCACGCTCACATTCCGACCTTCTGTAGTCACTCCCAGGGTCAGTATGCTAGGAATCCTATGGATGTAGATTTGGGGATTCCATTTTCTCTTCCGGTCCAAGCAGGTCTTATTGACTTGCACAGGATTGGTAAGTCCAGTAAGAAAGACCAAGTGGACATTTCTGCTGGGTTCGAGTCCCACACTGTTTCTCATCACTGATGTCTTTGTCGGATCCAATAGCCGAGTTTGCGAGTCCCAAATAGGTCACTACAATTCCTTGAGCACGTCTGCTCTTCAATCTCAAATGTCAACATCTTGAGTGGCAAAAAAAAAAAAACCCAAACAAACAAACAAAAAAACAACAACCATGCTTCTATGAACAGTTTGCTCAAATAAAGACCTCACCAGTGACCCGCACAAGTAGAGGCCACCCTAGTGCTCCCACTGTGCCTGAGATCTGCCTCTATTGTCTGGGGACTTGTCACTCCTTATCGCTAATGAACAGTTTTCCTCTGTTACTGCCTGAAAGGCAATCTGGCCCGTATACTATTGTCTTCTATAATTGAATATTGTATCTCAATACATATGTATTCTTGAATGTAAGATGGCATCTAACTCTGTTGCCTTGGCTGATCTCCAACTTCTGAACTCAAGGAATCCTCCTGCTTCATCTTGTTGAGTGGCTACAAGTGTATGTCATTATGTGTGGATTCCTTGATACTGAAGGATGGCCTACAATACTCTCAGACTTCATGAGCATTCTGCATTTCAACTCACGTTTGAACATCATGCATTTATGGATGCTACCATTTCAGAAAACCCAAACTAATGCTGATTAAATGTTGGCACTTTCTGAAAAGATACCAAGAAATATTCTAATTTTGGATTTTTGAGTGGTTTGGCACGTCTTTATTCCACCTACATGAATGTATAGTTGGGCATAGGAATCATCAAAGTTATTTTCTGAAGGGATTCAGGGGTCTTCTTTCTTTTTGGCTCATCTCCTGCATCCATTACAGCACAAACAATTCTTGCTCTAAAGAAGGGAGCTTGGAGCCCCCACATTGTACAGGACTAGAAAAGGCTGGTGGGAACAGAGGCAAATCATTTGCTATTTTGTTACCCCATGGGGTCCATTAAGCATCTCTATTGATTATTAAAGAGTTGTCCATCCTATACAATAAAGGAGCTTCTGAAGGCATCACCATCTCCGACTTCAAACTCTACTAGAGAGCTGTAGTCATACAAACTGTTTAGTATTGGTACAAAATAGACAGGTGGATCAATGACATTGAATTAAAGACGTCAACATTATTGGCGAATCAATCCCACACCAGTTATGTTTTAAGGGGTTATTTATTTTGGGGGGTAAAACTTACATACACCATAAACCATCAGGAAGGAAACCTAGTCGCTGGAGCAGGAGCCGGGAGCAGGAGCCAGGACCCGGGAGCAGGAGCCAGGACCAAGCACCGGAACCAAGAGGGCCTGATCCGGATCTGCTTCTCTTTTTAAAAGAGAAATATACCACGCCCCAATGGGCTGGTATTTCAGCAGCTGACGAAGCGGAAGTCGCTCCCCGCTGCACTGTGGGCTCGTGCTTCAGCGACTATTGGTTGAGGCAGCGAAAGTTACTCCCACAACACAACATTAATCCACACACCTATGAACACCTGATTTTTAACAAGAAACCAAAATTATACAATGGAAAAAGAAAATCTCTTCAACAAATGCTGCTGGCATAGCTTAATGTCAACATGTAGAAGAATGAAAATAGATCAAATCTATCGCCTAGCACTAAACTCAAGTCCAAGTGGATCAAAGACCCCAACATAAATATAGTTACACTGAACCTGATAGAAGAGAAAATGGGAAGTAGACTTGAATTCATTGGTACAGGAGACCACTACCTGAATATAACACAGTAGCTCAGACACTGAGAGCAACAATTAATAAATGGGGCCTCTTGAAACTGAGAAGCTTCTGTAAGTCAAAGGATACGATCAGTAAGATAAAAGAGCAGCCTACAGAATGGAAAAAGATCTTCACTGCCCTCACATCTGGCAGAGGGCTGATTTCTAAAATATATAAAGAACTCAAGAAGCTAAACATCAAAATACCAAATAATCCAATTTAAAAAATGGATTACAGATGGGGTACAGATCTAAACAGAGAATTTTCAACAGAAGAATCTCAAATGGCCAAAAGACACTTAAAGAATTGTGCAACACCCTTAGTCATCAGGGATATGCAAATCAAAAAGACTCACAGATACCATCTTACACTTGTCAGAATGACTAAGGTCAAAAATACTGAGGGCAGCTTTTGTTGGAGAGGATATGGAGTAAGGGGAATACTCCTCCACTGCTGGTGGGAGTGCAAACTTGTCCAATCACTTTGAAATGCAGTATAATGGTCTCTTAGAAAATTGGGACTCAATCTACTTCAAGACCCAGATATACCAATTTTAGGCATATGCCCAAAAGTTGCAGAATCATACCACTAGGACACCTAGTATGTTCATAGCCGCATTATTCATTTTTTGTGTGAAGTTTTTATTGATATTTATTGAGCTCTACATTTTTCTCTGCTCCCTGCCTCTCCACTCCCCTCTTTAACCCTCCCCAAGGTCTCCATGCTTCCAGTTTACTCAGGAGATCTTGTCTTTTTCTACTATCTACTTCCCACGTAGATTATATCTATGTAAGTCTCAGTGTCCATATTGTTATCTAAGTTTTCTGGGATTGTGGTTAGCAGCTTTATTCATAATAGGCAGAACCTTGAAACAACCTAGATGCCCCTCAACTGAAGAATGGGTAAGGAAGAAGTGATTCATTTACACAGTGGAGTACAACTCAGCTGTAAAAAGCGATCACTTCATGAAATTTACAGTCAAATGGATGGAAATAGGAAAAAAGCATTCTGAGTAAGGTAACAGAAAGACAAACATGGTATGCACTCACTCATAGATGGTTATTAGCAGTAAAGTATAAGATGACCAACTTGCAATTTACAGCCCCAGATAGACTAGATAACAAGAGGGACCCATAGAGGGATGCATGGATTTCTCTGGGAAGGGGAAGTAGAAAAGATCTCCTGGGTAAACTGGGAGTGGGGGAGGGGGTTGGGAGTATGGATGGATGGGAGCTAGAAGGAGTGGGTTGGGTGGGCTGGATGGGAACTAGAGGGAGTGGGTTTGGTGAGTTGAGTGTTGTATTGGAGACAGAATGGAGGGGAAGAGTGATTAAAGAGATGGCTTGAGGAGAAGCAAGCATTGTGGGGTTAGGGAGAAATCTAGTGCCAGGGAAAGTTCCAGGAATCCACAAGGATGACCCCAGCAAAGACTCCTAGCAATGGTGGAGAGGGTGTCTGAACTGGCCATCTACTGTAAGGAGATTGGCAACTTCCCTAATTGCCATCAGAGATACTTTATCCTTTAACTGGTGGAAACAGAGGCAGAGACCAGAGAAAGACATTGCGCTGAGCTCCAAGAGTCTTGCTGAAAGAAGAGAGGAGGAATTGTACTAACTAGGGCAAGTCATGATGGGGGAACTCACAGAGACAGCTCAGCTGGCCTGTGCTCACAGAAGCTCACAGAAGCTCATGAACGTAGCCAAGGAGCCTATACGGGATGAACCCAGGTCCTCTGCCTGTGTGTGGCAATTGGGTAGCTTGGTCTCTTAGTAAAGCTTCTAACAGTGAGAGCAGGACCTTTCCCTGGTGCTTAGCTGGCTTTTGGAAACCTGTTCCCTATGCT